AATATCACAGGTTTGCTGGTCTGATAGAGCCTCGTGGAACCACTGAGACTATAGCCCCTAGCTGCCCTTCAGGTCTGGAATTGAACCCACACCCATGGTTTCCAGCCAAACAAAAGACAGGCATATGAGTTGAACATTTACCTCAGGTAGATACACTCGTTGGAGAGAACAATCATGGGAGAAAGAAGGGCTGCTTGTGCACAGGAAGACAGCTCAGGGGGCAGGAGTGCATGGAGGGATGGACACTGGGAAGAAGTAACTATGGGGAGGAAGTGGGAGGGGAGCTGTTGCATTGTGGTAAACTGTGGTCAATGTCATGAGACAGTGTATGTGAACTGCTGTGTGGAAAGTGAATCTGCTTTGTAAATCTCCACCCAAATCACTATTAAAAAAAAAAGTTTGATCCCATAAATACCAAATCTGTTTGCATGGCAAAATCCACTCTACACAGTCAAAGAACAAACAGGAGGTAGGGGAAAAATACTTACAATTCATACAACAAAGCTGATTTTCTAATGAGTTTCCATGAATCAGTAAGAAAAAGATCCAACAACCCAATAGAAAAATGGGCAAGGAATATAGACAGACACACAAAAAGAACTATAAATAGCTCTTAAATGTATCAGAAGGCTCACTACATTCAAAATAATTGCAAATTAAAACTACTCCCAAGATACCACTTTCATCTTTCAGACTGGCAAAGATCCAAAAGTTTGATAGCACAGTGTTGGTAAAATGTGGGGAAACAGGCACTTTTGTAGAAGAGTTGAGCAATATCAAAACTACAAATGCACACACCCAACTATCCTACGTCTAGGAATTAAAAAAAAAAAAACCTCAGTACCATGGAGTCGGATCCCACTCATAGCGACCCCTCCTTGGGTTTCCGAGGTGGTATCACTACAGAAGTAGACTGCCACATCTTCCTTCTGAGGAACGGCTGGTGGGCTTAAACTGCCAGCCTTCTAGTACAGGGCAGGGAGTGCGTGGAAGGGGAGGACAAAGGTAACTAACAAATGTCCTGGAGGATGTACAGCCGGAATGCTGCTTGAAAGCGATAATGGCCAGACTTCATCTCACCTCCTTTGGTCATGTTGTCAGAAAGGACCATTCTCTGAAGACAGATATCATGCTTCGTAAAGTGGGGAGTCAGCAAAAAAGTGGAAGGCCCTTAATGAGATGGATTGACAATGTGGCTGCAACCATAGGCTCAGGCATAACAAGGATTGCGACTATGGCACATGACCAGGTAGTGTTTCATTCTGTTTACATTGTTGTTGTTGTTGTTGTTGTTATTTGCCATTGAGTCAGCCCTGACTCATAGCGACCCCTCCTTGGGTTTCCGAGGCAGTATCACTACGGAAGTAGGATTGCCAACCTTCCTTCCGAGGAGTGGCTGGTGGGTTTGAACCGCCAGCCTTCTGGTTAGCAGTCAAGTGCCTTAGGCACTATGCTACGGTCACTATAAGTCTGAGCCAACTTGATGGCACCTGTGGTAATTTGGTTTGTGTGTCAACTTGGCTGGGCCTGGTTGAGTGGCTGGGCAGCTGGTGGTAGTTATTCCCCATGAGGAGACTGGGAATCAACTCCATGGTGGGATCTACCACAAGCAGCTGGGTAGCTGCCTTTGGGAATGGTCTCTAGCTTATGGCACTCTTGGACCCTGCATGTAGCTGTGTCGTTGTTCAGCAGCCTGCTATGCTCTGCTGACCTTGGGACTTACAATGGACTTAAGTTAATGGCCTGCCATGTGGTTTGGTAACATCAGGACTGTGCCTTTTTATTAGTCAACCTTCGGGCTTCTCAGCCTCAGCAGCGAGTAGCTGTCTGAGTGAAGAAATGCCTCTAGCTCCAGTGGGCCAGGAGCAGGAGGCAGAGCTGGACCCCAAGGTTGAGGGGCTTTCACCCAGCCCCTAGAGTCTGGCACTTTGAATTTGGACTTAAAGCCTCCAAATTGTACGAATAAACTCCTGTCTGTTAAGGCCATCCCTTTTGTGGTGTATTCCTGTGAGAGCAGCACTAGGTAACCAGAACAGCACCTAACAACAGGTACAAAATGGTGTCCAAACTCCAAAAAAACTCACTGCCATCGGGTGGTTTCCCACTCATAGTGACCCCTACTGGGTTCCCGAGGCAGTAAATCTTTACAGAAGAAAGATTGCCCCATCTTCCTAACGCGGAGTGCTGGTGGGTTTGAACCACCAACCTTCTGGTTAGTAGTCAAATGCCTTAGGCAGTGTGCCACCACAACACCTTAAAATGGTATATAAGAACCATATTAAGAGTACTGAAGAAACTTCTTTTGTACTCTTATGGAATGATTTTCAAAAAATATGGTTAAGTGCAATATATAGCTGCTTGAACAGTTTCTCTTAGATCAGCACGAGGCCGGTCCCCATGAGGCAGAGGTCAAAGATGTCCCAAATGTCCAAACTACCATGCCACGCCATCATTTCAGACATTAACTCCTCCTCCTCCTCCCAGTAATTTCCCCAGTCTTAGGGTTCTGTATTTCGCTGTAACGCCTCACAGAACTCACAGACACCCAAGGGTTCGTCTCATGTAGTAGTGGTGGAGGCTGGCAGGCTGGTGAGTCCCAGGTCTGTGAGTAGGTCTGGCGTATCCTCGAAACTCTCGGGGTTTGATGAACCTCAATCAACAGATCAGATGACGGCTGCTGTCCCAAATCCAGGGGTGAGATGAGGATGACCCAAGACACAAAGCCAGAGCAAGAGGAGAGCGAATCTTCCCCAGAGATTCATTCGTAGGTATACCCTCAGGGAAGCTGTTGTTGTTTGCCGTTAAGTCAGACCCGACTCATAGCGACCCCTCCTTGGGTTTCCGAGGCAGTATCACTACGGAAGTAGGTTGCCCAACCTTCCTTCCGAGGAGTGGCTGGTGGATTTGAACCGCCAGCCTTCTGGTTAGCAGTCAAGTGCTGTAGCCACTATGCTACCACAGCTCCTCCAGGGAAGCTAAGGGTGGTGATTTTAATTATACTCTCCAGCAAGGCAGGACTCAAATACATTCCACCTGTGTTGCCCCAATAGAATCCCATCACAGAGTCCATTGCCAGTCATTATAGGGAATGACTACTACCAGCTGTCCAGCCAAGTGGATGTTGTTGTTATGTGCCATCGAGTCGGCCCTGACTCATAGCGACCCCTTCTTGGGTTTCCGAGGGAGTATCACTACAGAAGTAGATTGCCCCATCTTCCTTCCGAGGAGTGGCTGGTGGGTTTGAACCGCCAGCCTTCTGGTTAGCAGTCAAGTGCCTTAGCCACTATGCTACCAGAGCTCCTAGCCAAGTTGATACCTGACCTTAACTACCACACCACCCCAAATAGGCATGGATAATGAGATTTACAAAACATCACAGAATGGAGGACAATGGCTAGAAGGGCCACATCAAGCAATTCACTGCAATAGCATACTCCTCTCTGCTTTAGGTGTGTAAAATACCTCTGGAAAGGCATTTAAGAAATTATTACACTGTTTGTCTCTGGGGAAGGAAACTGGGTGGCTGGAGGATAGAGATGAGAGTTTTCCACTGTAATTTAAACCGTTTGAATTTTGGACTAGTGAATGAATTGTCCTTTGCAAATGTAATTTTAAAAAATAAATAAAACTGCTTTTTGTTTCCAGGAAGGAGCCCTGGTGGCATAGGGGTTAAGTACTCAGTTGCTAACAGAAAGGTTTAACTCACCCAGCCACTCTGGGGGACAAAGACCTGAGGAGCTGCCCCAGTAAAGATTACAGTTTAAAAACCCTATAGGCAGTTTTACTCTGTCATATGGGGTCTCCGTGAAGCTGGTAGCTTAGTGCCTAAAGCACTTAACTGCTAACCAGAAGGCTGGCGGTTCAAACCCATCAGCCACCCCTCGGAAGGAAGGTTGGGCAATCTACTTCCATAGTGATCCCGCCTCCGAAACCCAAGGAGGGGTCGCTATGAGTCGGGTCCCACTGGACAGCATGTAACAATAATAACATGAGTCAAAATCAACTCAGTAGCACATAACAACAATATGGTTCTAAGTAAACTGGGATTAATAAGAGAACCAGTTATTTATTGAGCCCCCACCACGTTCCAGGCACTGTTCCAAGCATTTCCACATACACAACTCCATTTCGTTATCACAGTAGTCTGAGTATAAATTAACTTCACAGATTAGGAAACAATAATTTACTCAGTGTCATACCTAGTGTGACCTCAAAGTCGCAGCGCTTTATACTTCCCAGTGATTCTATGTAAGCAGTATCCTATCTTTTATACAATTTTGGTATCATTTATTGGTATGGTATTATTTATTCCAGACTCAGTACATACTAAATGCTTATTCTCATATTCTCAAGGTAACTCCGAAAGGTATGAATTACTTTCACCTAGACCATAAACGACCGCAAGATCACGGATATATAAATGTTCTAAAAAACCAAACCCACTGCCATCCAGTCGATTCCAACTTATAGTGACCCCCCATAGGGTTTCCAAGGCTGTAAATCTTTATGAAAGTAGATCGTCTTATCTTTCTCCCACGGAACAGCTAGGGGGCTTGAACCGTTGACCTGGCTAGCAGCCAAATGCCTTACCCACTACGCCACCAGTTTCTTATGTAAACGTACAGAATCCCCCCAAAAAACATTGCCCTCCATCTTTATGGAAGCCAACTGCCACATCTTTCTCACGCAAAACGGCTGGTGGATTCAAGCCGCCGACATTTTGGTTAGCAGCAGAGCGCTTAATCACTGCATCACGAGGGCGCCAAACATCAGAACCCAGGTATAATTCAAAAGCTCCTGCTTCGATAGCAAAACCACTCCCGGTTCAAAGGACAAAAGAAGGAACCATCGCTGGGCTGGGGGTAAATCCTAGAGTGGGGAAGCTTAGACATTTCCGGGACGAGGCGCAAGGAAAGTGAGCTGCAGAAACGGAGGAGCCCGCCACCGCGAACTCGCGAGAGGACGTGCCAGAGAACAGACAGCCCCTGTGCCGCCTGGATCGCCTGTCGATCACCTGGCCCCGCCCCACGCCGGCGCGCCCCCGGGAAGGTCCCGCCCCTCACCCTTGGCCGGGCGGGAAGCGAGCGCGCGCTCCTTCCCGTTACCTCTGCCTGAGGGGAGGGAGGGGGAAGCGGGAGGCGCGCGCTCGCGAACGGCGTGCTCGCGTACGTCGCCGGGGTTCGTTTGCGTCCGTCCCGCCGCCCGCCCGTTGCCGCTGCCGCCGTCGCCGTCGCCGCGCTCTCGCTTCGCCGGGCCGCCGCCTAGGGGGGGTTGGGGCCGGGCCAAGCTACCACCGCCGTTGCCGGGATGCCGCGGGTATACATCGGCCGCCTGAGCTACCAGGCCCGGGAGCGCGATGTGGAGCGCTTCTTTAAGGGCTATGGGAAGATCCTGGAGGTGGATCTGAAGAACGGGTGAGGAGCGCGGAAGAGGGTTCGACCGGGTGGGGACAGGGCCCTGGAGGTGCCGGGGAGGCCTGGGGGACGAGAAGAACGCCTGCCCCGCGCGGAATAGCTATCGGCCTGGTCTGGCTCCGCCATAGTCGCGGCGCCTTGGGGGCGCGGGTAGGCCTCGGTTCCTACTGCGCCTGCGCGGGTGGGGGTGGTGTAGGAATAATGGGAACGATGGTGAGGATCTGAGTGGGACGGAGAGAGGGGAAACCCGAGTGGGATTGGGGCTCTGGGCGGGAGACTGCAGCTCCATGGCTCCGAGAAGGTCCAGGTTTTTCCTTCCTGGACCCTGGGACTGAAACCTGGTTCGTCTCCGCATAGAGACCGACCTTTCCCGCTCTGAAGGCTACTGAAAATAAACAGGATTTCCTGCCCCCTTTTTACTCCCTCCCCCAGGCTAATGGATCAGACAGTCACCACACATCTTTTCCTTGACAGGAGCTCTGGAAGGAGGCCCTTTTTAGAGTTGCCATGTGCACACTTTTTTGGGCGGGAGACTCCGGTTTGAATAGTCTAGTGACAGTTTCGAAAGTATCGTCTTGCCGTGCGGAGAGCCCTCACTGTTCCCCTACAAGAGTAAATTAAAGTCTTAACTCGTTATCTTTTAGACTCCGTACAAAGTTTCCATGCTGTAGTTTCCGTTCTCCAACTTACCGAAAAATGGCTTTGCCGATTAAAAATTTGTTGTTAGAGAATACTGGCCACTGTGGCCACATCTGCCTGAACTACTTAATGGAAACACACACTTCTCGAAATTTCTAGCTTATTGCTTCCCTGAGTGTGCTCTGATACTTGTATTTCTAATGATCTACTTTGGCAGAGGAGGGCCAGCAGGGGCTACACGTTTCAGGGAAAACAGATGAGTCAGGCATGGAGAAGATACTTGGCGTAGAAAACTGGGAACCCGGAAATGTTTGTAGGACTTGAAAATCGTGGATATTAAAAAAAAAAAAAAAAAAAGTAAGGGAGCATTTTAAGGCCCTGAACCCATGGATGTTAGGGAACCTTAGCTTTTTTTTTTTTTTTTTTTCTTTAAAGCTCTCTAGTTAGCAACAGGTTTGGTATGGTTGCAGTTTACCACCCCTCCCCCAGTGTAATACTGGGGACTGACAATTATGAAAGATAATTTAAAGTATGTTGCATATTTGAGAAAAATTGGTACCTACCAGACACTCGAATTATCTGGATCTGAAAAGCCATTTCAAATGGATCTTGAGGAGGAATCACCTTGCTGAGGAAAATGTCCTAAGAAAATTGTTTATGAATACTGAGTTCTTTTTCAGTAAAAAGCTTAAGAAATTTCCCATCTTGTATAATAGTATTCTTAGCTCCTAGGAATATACTAAAGTGGAGAATTTTGATAGTATTGTGATACATATGTATCTGAGAGAGCAAGTTTAAAACTTTTCTAGATCTCAAATAAATTGACAGATTCATTAAATTTTGTGAATCTGTCTGGGTCTGGTTCTACTGCTTATTGAGTTGTGGGCAAGTATTTAACTTCTATGAACCTAAATTTCTTCCTTTTCCTGGAAAAGGAAAAATGAGATAATAAATGTAAAACATTTGGCTTATCACAAGCTTCCAATAAATGGTAATTATAACTAAAGAAATTGGATTGTAATCATTAGAAGACATCTTACTATGCACGTGTTTAATAGCAAAGCATATTTGGTTAGGTCTTTTCTCTAAGGTCCCTAGTGATACTCAGCAGGAAATGATGTTAATGTTAATGAAGAAACTGGTTAATGGGTCAGATATTGATTACCCACCAATAAGATGCCTGCCATTATGTTAAATGTAATTATAAAGGAGGTAGAAAAACAATCTGCTCTTGAGTAAAGTGTTTATGGTTATAACATGCACATTTTGTGTTAAATGCTTACTCTCACTTTAAATTCAAACAACTAAAGCTTGTAATGGTTTATTTGGAAAAATTTGTTTGAAATGGGCTTTAAAGAATGGCTTGACTGTGGATTAGAATGGAGGAAGTGTCTGGGAATAAGGTATGCCATACTGGTGATGAGGAAGTGGTCCAGTAAGGAACATTTGTGAGAAACAATAAACAGTCTAGCTTGCATTCTCATCTCATGAAGGATCTAAGAGTTTAACAGCATCACCCAGAAACAACACTAAACATTCAAAATCATGGATTCAAAAGGCTTGAATTGAGCAACCCAGGGAATGGTGCACTGAGAGGAAGGGTAAATCCTTCCAGGAACCTGAATACCTGGCTCTCGTTGTAAGAGCTGTTCATTCTTGGAATTCTGTTGCTAAACCATGATATTCATGAAATCAGTGACTGAAAAGTCAAGATTGAAATAAGGAATTTGGCAAAGTCATTAGAGAGTTTTTGAAGACATGTATGACAGTCACCAAATCATGGGCACAGTATGACCTCCTAGCAACATTCAGGAATTATTGCAGAGGAAAATGACTTCTGGGAAGAAAATTAAAGGTAAAGATGAAATTAAAGCAAAACTTGTCAGAAAGGAGCTCTGGTAGCGTACTGCCTAAGGCACTTGACTGCTAACCAGAAGGCTGACAGTTCAAACCCACCAGCCACTTCCTCAGAAGGAAGATGGGACAATCTACTTCCGTAGTGATACTGCCTTGGAAACCCAAGAAGGTGTCGCTGTGAGTCAGGTCCGACTCAACGGCATATAACAACAACAACAGATGTCAGAAATGCAGGAGAATCTGAAAGGAAAGACTACAAAAGGAAAAGATGGCTGACTTTAACAACATATGTAAGCTTATAATTCTGGAAACTGAGAACAATACTGGATACTGAGAAGCATCTTTGAACATCTGGATTGTGATTATTAGTAATTAAAACTCTAAAGCAGGTTTTGGATGGATAGGGTTTTGAAGACTTGCTGAAGAATTTCAAATTTATGGTAGAAGAAAAATAAGTCTCTGGGTAGCACAAGTGGTTTGTGATGGACTACTAACCTAAAGGGCTGGTGATCTATTTCCATAAGGATTATAGCAAAGAAAACCCTAGGGAGCAGTTCTGCTCTATAACACATGTGGTCATCATAACTTAGAATCGACTCAACAGCACATGTATGTGTTAGACTGAAGCGTTGTTGATAAAGTTCAGAATTAATTATATGGGGCATAAAATACTTGCGTAGTAGAAAGTTGACAAAATGAAAAGATGAACTCTCCAAAGGAGATTTAGTGACCAGGAGAGGATTTTATGGATCCTCTTGGAATTTCATTCAGCTGCTAACCAAAAGGTCTGCGGTTTGAATCTATGGAAGAAAGATGAGGCAGTCTGCTTCTGTAACAATTCATAGTCTTAGGAAACATATGAGGCAGTTCTGCCCTGTCCAGTAGGGTCACTGTGAGTCAGAGTCAACTTGATGGCAGTGGGTTGTTTTTCTCTTGGGATTTGAAGAAGAGTTATGTATGCAGTAGTTTAGTGATGGTTTTGGTATGCCAAGCAACCCAGGGCAATACTTTGGAGTAAATGTGTTGGTATCCTCGATTGACACTACACAGTAGTGCTAGCATTCCTGATTCCTAAAAGTTCCATCAGTTCTCAGATGGTCAAAGACATCCCATCAAGAGCAGCCACTTACAAGGATTTAATCTAAATTGCCTCTGTTTTTGGAGAACTGTTTTGTAGACAGATGAGTCAGTTTGTGGCCACAAACTTGAAGTAGATCTACTAGGACCATACAGACCATTTCAGATCCTATTAGGGTCACCTGCATTCCTGTCTACTGTACTAACTCCAGCAAGAAGCCACGATGGGACCAGGGGGAGAATCCTAGGAGTATGTCATGGAAGCAACAGTATTGGCAGCCTCTATTTTGTAACCTTCCATCTCTATGGTAACTAACCACTGTCTCTGATTATATGTGGATTCTATAGATTTTCTTTCTTTGCATTAAAGCACTTTCTTGGAAGATACACAGTAACCAAAAGCAGCAGCAGATTAGTATTTTACCTACACATAAATGTGTAAATGCATATTTGGTTTAACCTCAGAAAGACTTCTATAATATTTATGACTGATTTTCTTTCTGAATGTTATAATTTTTCTTAAGTATAATGTTTACGATTTAGATTTACAAAATCAGTTTTTTATGAGAAGATTTGTTTGGAACTTAACATTTTTAAGCATCATCACAGAAAGACAGCATTTCTGCCCCCTCAGTGGACTATTAAAAATAGGCTATTAGCTGTTTAGTTTATGAGAATCATTATAGAAGGTTTATTTGTTTGTTTTTTTGTTGGTTTGTTTTTAGTACAGTGCTTTGTGTGGTACCACAAAGTAAAATCTTGTGGTTTCAGTCATAGGTCTTTATATCTTAATTAGTTTTTCTGTATTGTAGTTAATAAATAAAACCTACCAAATCTAAAGATTATCTTAACTGCCTGGAAGCTGAAAGGGTGAACCTTCAAATCATTGAGTTTTTAGCTGATTAAAGTCATGAATTAAAACTCTGAAGGGAAACTTGGCTATAAATTTCAGAACCTGTGCTTTATATTACTGTGAAATTGTAAACAGCCAGAGTTTTCAGGGGTGTGCTAGTCTGTTTAATTGGATTTTCACAATATCTAAGTATTAGCAAGAAAGTTTTTCACCCTTGACGAAAATTTAAAATTCTTTCAAGTAGAATGTCCATCAGTATGGAAGATTTTAATCTGTTGTTTGAAATTTTTAGTGAGGCAGGTGGTTGTTCGTGTGTCCTGATTGTTATAAGGCATTGTTAGGCAGGAGATACTGAGATGAATCCCTGCCAACCCCAGAACCTACACAGGGATTTTCTCTTTTGACTGAATCCCTGATGGGAGCTTGTTTTTTGTCTTTTAAAGGAGAAAGAAATAATCTAGTATTTTAGGTCATTGGGTTCCAGTTAATTGAGCTATTAGTGGATTCTTAATCACCCTCCCACCACCAAATGGCAGATAAATGCTTTATCATTGTTATGATAATGGTAAAATAG